ACCGTTTGATCAATGAGATTTGGGGGGACTGTCAAGAAACGCCTAAGGAAAGCGTCGTGGCTGTGGATCAATCGGTCACTTCGTGATGTCGCCATGCCACTGGACATGGCTCAAGCGCGAATTTCGTCGCATGCCGGAAAAGCCCGCCGATGCAGGGATCTAGGTTGGCCGTGTTCTACAGTATGCTATGGCAGGGAAGAAGAAAACTGGCGTTAGAAACAAGACTTCTGCCAAGCAGGCTGCGCGTGGACAGAAATTCACTAACATGTCCGACCTCCCGGTCACCGGATTGTGATGCTGGTTTACATAGATTAGTTTCTTACATTAACTCTTCGTTAAATCTCACGTTCGATCGGCATGCCGCATGTTAACCGAGTTGCCATTGGACAAAATGGTAATCGTGGCCTGATTTGTCTTCCATAAAGCGAACAGCGAAGCTAGGACCTAACCTGATTTGAAGGTGGTTCACGTAAACCATACTGGATTTCATCCAACTCCGGGTCAATCCTGGCGACCGACACCGGTTCGCGCAGAGTAGGCGCCTTCGGCTTGGCAGCTACGCCAGCTCGTCGTGTCTTGGCCTGAGGCGGACACTTCGGATCGCTCATAGCTACTAAGTAGTTGAACAGAGATAACGACGGAAGGCCCTGAGCACGAACGGCGTGGTTAGCGGCGACAACCTCAGCCTCTGCGCTAGACACAGCGGGGGTGGCGGTTTGTTTCTGACTAAACGCGTTGATAGGCCAATAGGTGTTGTGTCCTACTAAGGCCATAAAAGAACCTGTGGTACTTTTACTATCAAACTCACCGGCGAAGTCAGCATCAGCAAATAACTAAAGTTGACATTCTGAAAACCGATGATGCATGAAACCACGCATGCCAACGTGTTTCATAGTTGGTTAAAAGAGACTTTCGATAGTGACCAATTCGATTTAATCAATGTGAATACTCTTCATCAAGCTGCTGATGTGTTGACTAAACCATTTACTTCACCACAAAAGTGGGATTCCGCACTTTACATGTTAAACATGGTGTTTTACACATACAAGAAACCTCCAGGCAAGGGTAACTCCTTAGCCGTGACGCCCTCAAGGGGCGATCCTGTGCAGTACTTTGACATTTCTACCCCTGAGAATTCCGACAAGGAGAATGAACTGGACCAGGGGGGAACGCACTGCCCAATCAGCAACCCAAACAACAACAAAGGCTCATGGTCGAATGGTGCTGCTCACCTGACTCCAAACTTGGACAATCAAGGGCCGCTTCCAAAGGATGCACCGTGTTTAGGGTTACCGAAAGTGAGGACGCCGCGACAAAGGAATGTGTTGAGCGAATGATATAAAAGACTAAATTTTGGAAAGACAATGGACAATGTAAGGTTCACATCCACATTTCACTCCCATGTACTGGAGGATGCCCATGGAACAATGTGAACAAGGATTTGCCAGGAGGATACAACAACATCAAAAGAAGTTTTCCACCCTCCTGAAGAAATGTTGATAAATTCCTGGAAGGTATTTCATTTCTAACGTTTCTCCGTCGATTTCCTTTGAACTCCCTTCATTTTGCGAGTACTGGAAATGGAAAAGTGTTAAACGTTTTAAAACAGAAATACGGACTTGTCGACTACAGACTCCATGGTTGTCAGGTTGGGGTGACGGACGAACATGGGACACCAATTAAGAAGGGTTGGACCATTTCTTCCGACATTGAGGCGTTTGCTGCTCTTGAACAGCTGTGCCCAGCAATATCACCTCTACTAGCATGCTTGACAGCATTGCCGGACAAGATCTTCAACCCGGTCGTCCTCCACCACGTGGTGATCCTTCGGTTGACAGCCAAATGATCCTCACCGCCCGCAATCGTCTTCGTCGTGCTCTCAAGTTGGGGTACGAAACTGTTTACGATCGATTCAACCGCGATGATGCTTCCTTAGCTGGAGAGGGTTGCACGGCATTTGATGCAGCTCAAGAAGATCTCTTTGCTTCACTGCAATTGCCGGCGCCTTCTCGGTCAGCAAAGCAGAGGTCCAAAGGGAAATCTGTTGTGAGCGAATTGGACCGTCAAGAACGCGTTGAGCTGGCAAAATTGGCTTTTACTCGATGTGGTGTTGACAATTTGTATACATGTTTCAAGCCAGGCCTCAGCGAGAGTTTTCTCATCAGTTACAGCCGTGAATTCCTTTCACTTCGTCAGTATGCTGCCGTAATTGGCAATGGCCGCGACGAGGTCAAGGTTCAGGGGTTTATCCCTACAGATGATGTCTATGGCGATATCCACAATATTTCCATTCCTCGTGGAGACACGATGGGCGTGTATAAGGATGCTTCGGGAGTTTGCGCTACAGAACGACAATACGCTATTGCGCAATATCAGCAAAACGTACAACAATCAGTGCGAACGCAGGAGAAAGGCCGTGGTATGACACTCGATGCATTCGGCTTCATGAATTTGGAACAACGTATGGCCACTTCTTTACCGAAGTTTGCAGATTATGGGCAAGACATTACAAGCGATGAGATTATTTGTTTGGAACGACTTCTTTTGGAGTTCGGTCAGCGTGATGCCCCATCACCAGTAACTAGGCCGCCGCTTCATCGCAAACGTTCTCAAGCTTCAGATGTTGAAACAGAAGATGTTGACAAGAGGCCACGTTTGCAATGGAGGAAGAAGGACGAGCGTGATGATACAGGTCGCTTTGCAGCTTGGTCAGACGACAGAGTTCCTCCACCGGGCGTTCCGAAGCCACCAGCTCCCGTAACAGGGACGCATACAGTATCAGTTTACAGGCCACCTCCCGTTCCTCGTGCACTAGTTCCTCCAAAGAAAAATTTCCCTAAACGGAATGTCGTTCCAGATCCGCCAATTGCCCCCAAGGGCCATCCAGCAAGTTTTGTCCCTGGCACCACGGAACAGAATGTGGGGGCCGCGTGGCAACCCCCTGGAGCAAAGCAGTCACCATTGCCAAATGTTGAGGGCGACGGTACCACTGCAGGTGAAAGCTCCAATGCTCCCGTAAAAGGGAAGCCGTGGTTCAGTTGGCAGGATGATGTCGTTGCCCCCTAAACGGGGCAATATTCCAAATCCAAAGACCTTCTTGGTGTTCGCCCTCCAGTTCCAAGGCCACCTTCAACCACAACTACAGCAGAGGTACCACCGGTACCCAAAGCCAAGCTGCCCATTGGGCAGGCGCCACCTTTACCACCTCCAAATCACCCACCATCGCCGGCAGCCAGACCGCCGCCAAAGGTACGACCAACTGCCTCCGACGGTCTACCAGATCAGTCCAGGCCACCAGATTTTAATTTGACGCCAAAGCCACCGCCGCTCCGAGACATTCGATCGATTACAGCCTTCCGTAAAAGGAAAGGGACAGGGCAAGCCGGAGGGTCGATCTCGTGAAGGACACTATGAGGCAAGGCCGTGGCACTGTGATCATATGCCTCCTCCACCGATGCCGCCAAGATCTTCATCGTCTTCGAATACTCCCGTAACTGGGCAGTCATATACTCAGAGCACTTGGCAACCTACACCGAAGAGTTCACAACCTTCGGACGCTTCACCGTTGGAACCATTTGATTTTCTTGGCGTGCAATGGCAACGAGACGATCCATGGGCTGAAAACTATTGGCCCAATCACATGGAACTTCGTCAGTGGATGGAGAACGGTTGGCGGGATGATACCGAACGATTTGGGTATAGGCATTATTAGAAATGCAAAGTTTCGGACAGCTACCATAATTGGTAAGCCTTACAGCTTATGAGTGTTGAGATACAGTTCATCTTCTGACCCGGAGTGAGATGATGTTTCACCGCGTTGTCTCACACAGGACTGCATCATTAACCGGATTGCTTTAGACGGAGAGTGAACTTTTAATCAATCCTCTAGTCAAAACTGGGTCAAGCATGTGTAACAACATGCCGAGTGAGCCGGTAGGTTGTACATTAGCGTAGCTACGTTGTCCTTGTATAGTGCACGCACGAGCTTGATGAGGGATTTCTAATATGATTCCTTCGTCGCTAGAATTTATTCCTCCCAGAGATTTTCCCTACGGGTAGCTCCTTGTAAAGGGGGGTGTTGAAATTCACCTCATCCCGATGGACCCCGTAGCGTGGACTCTCAAGGTAGAGTAAAAGAGACGCTTAACGGCTAGACAGGGTTAGCTAGGATAGTTAGGAAATCTAGGCTGATCCTGTAAAATACAGTTGTTTTTCATAATTCTTGTGATACGTGGTTTCTATGTATTTTCTTGTTAAGTTAACATGTTTTTTTTGATTCGTGGTCGTGCCAGCTGGTGTTTAATCAAGTTTTGCAGGTTTGTAGCTGTCGTAATCCTTGTGATCTTGTGATAGGTTGTTCCTGTTGTTTGTGGTTATTTTGGCAGCCGGTCTTCGAGCGAGTGGTATGTTTGGACCTTTAATGGTTTGTATTTTTTAGGTGTTTCACTTCGTTTGCCTATGACTTTTGTTGTTTTTTGGAGAACCTTCTTTTTTTTGTTTTGTATATAGTGATTGTTTTGCTAGTTGTTTTGCTTTCTCTTGGCCATGTGGCCTGTTAATCTGTGGAGCTATTTTCGCGATGTTTGTGAGTTGTGTAAATGGCGTTATCTTTGTAGGCAATTTTTTGCAATTCCAACGTAGCAGACCTTTTGGGCGCCACCCGAGGGAAACAAAAAGTAGAGGAGAAAGGAACCATTCCAACGTAACAGACCTTTTCTGAGCCATCCGAGGGTAAAATTTAGAGGAGGAAGGTGCCGTTCCAATGTAGCAAACCTTTTGTGGGCCACCGTTGCCAATATTTATGTATAATATATAGACATAAGACAAAGAATGGAAGGAAAAAAACAGGTCGCTTTTCCAACGCTGAAGAACCTCGACCATGTCAACCCTTCTGCGTTCATACTAGCACAGTCCTAGCTTAGTAGCTTGCCTTTTTTAAATTGCCGACTCGGCCTACCCTTCCAAGAAAAGAGTCAATGTGTCCAGAGAGCTGCCGAGAGGATCCAGGAACCCTCGTCCGTCGCCTAGCAGAGCTTCCTTGCGCGCCCGGTGCGCAATCTCGAAGGCTCCACTACTCTGGGCAGCAATCAATAGGTGTACTTGCGTACATCAATAGCTGGGTAGATCGCTGGAACATGGTGGAACATCAGGTTGGACACTTTTGTCCATTGTTTTGGAGTACGTTGGGGCTTACTACACCTGAGCCTGAGCAGGCGTTTCATGGAATTTGAGAGCACGCCTCGGAGAGACAATCGTCCTAGCTTTCTTGTGTCTTTTGCAGCTGCAACAGTTTTATTTGATCTTTCTATGTCACGCACTTAAACATGTACAATTTGTTGGCTCTTGAGAGGCGACTGATCAAAGCGTGGTTTTCATTGTGTCTTGAGCAGAAACACTTTGGCTCTTTTCAAGTCCTTTCCTGTGCCCTCACTGCGACAGGCTGGCTCCATATCTCTTAACATGTGCCAGCAGCTGGAGAGGCCATCTAAATGAGGCTCGAAGGGTGGCTGCACTGTCAGTCGAGGTTTCTGAATGAAACGAATTTGATGGGAACATTGAGCTTTTAACAGCCTCCAGATTTTTTTGAGTTTCTCGAGGAAGTCCAAACCAAGGCGTACCAATGAGATATTGGCAAAGTACCGTATCACGTCGAGCCATGGAGCCCTTGGCGCTTTTTCACCCTCTTTGCCGGAAAGCCAATCTAGCCATTTGAAAGCCATGATGCATACCAACAGGCTAGTGCTATGGTCACTGTGGGTTTGGTCACCTTGGGTTTGGCGCAGGCGGGCCAGTGCTATGAGGCCTTGAAGTCTTGGTTGTGTGGGGGCCAGGACTTGAAACGACACGTTGGAACTTGATGCAACAAGCGAATCGACAATGGAACTTGGAGCCGAAGTCTTGCGTCAAAAGTTTTTCATCGACCAATATCGATGCAATTCCTGTAAGATGTGAACAGAGCCAGCGCTCGAAGTGATCTTGTAAAGACACAGAGGCATGACCTAGGTTTGGAAACGGGCTCGATGGCGAAGCATGGAAGCAAGCAAGACTCCCTTTCCAATAGGGCGGTCGTGCTGAAGCCAGATTTTCTTGTCAATGCTACACAAACCAAACAATGCTCCACTTCAAGATAATCTCAGTTATATATCACTGAGCTTGTTGAGGTCATGCTACTACCAGTTCTCCTTGGTCAGTGGTCAGATGGAGGCACTTCAACATCACACCGCCCTGTAGCTGTGCTTTTGGATGTTCACTTTTGATTCCAGGCCAATGCCATTCAACTGCAGCACCAGGTTCGACACTCGTTGCCGAACTGGTTTGTCGAAAGGGAATTGCAAAGAGAGGTGAACATGGCATTTGGGGAGTCATTTGGTTGGAGAGTGAGAGAGGGAGAGAGATCAGAAACCCAAACGCTCTCAAATCTCAAACCACATGCTATCTCGCCAGTGCCAAGCAAATTCGCCATGTTCACAGTAGGTCCAGCCCTGATTCAAATATTGGGGTCTAGGTGCAGAATTTGATTGCCCTGCAAATGTCCTCAAAATGTACAATGTGATGTGTGTGAACATGTTTTTTGCACCTGCATAATATAGAGCCTTGGGTCCTTGAGCTTCCCAAGCCTAACAGGCATGTTGAAGCATATAAAGAAAGCATGAGGAGAAGATATATCAAGTCAGCACATTTATCTACTGTAATATATATATATATTATATATATATTTATGTTGTTCTATAGTCGATCACCCTTCTCGGAGCCCTCTCTGAAGGCATCATGCCCCATCCATTGCTCTCCTTCCACCGTCCCTAGGACACAGGGATTTTGGCTGGGTTTGCCTGGCTCTGCTGGCCTTCCTCGCTTTACACTTTAGGGTTTGGATCTGTTCCCACTGGCTTTCTCATCAAGACTTGCGTCCGGAGTCCATCTCCATCTCACAACTTTGCTTCTCAATTGTCAGCCTTGCAACGCTTGCGGCGTACCCTGAATGAGTGGACCTCCCACCAAGGGTGATATCGAGAACCTTATGTCAGCCCTCAACAGGCTGTCTTTGGCGTTGGAGAGCTCTTGATCAGCAGGTCATTCGGAAGGTACAGTGATTTGAGATCCATCACTTCAAGTGGCTCGAGCTTGGAAAGCAGGTTTTTGGGCGTGGGTTGCAGTTCGAGTGCAGGCAGGAGCTGATCCGATTTTGTACAGCCTTTGGCTGCGCCCTTCTCCATCAATCCGGAGGGACGAAGTGAGTTGCAGATCGAGGCGACCATTCGCTTCTGGTGATTGTAGAACTCTCGAGTGCGTACGCCTCGAAGTTCCTTGGCTTCGACTTCGCCGCTTTCCCCTGTACCAAGTCCTGAGGTAGGACTTTTGACAGGGTGCCGCCAAGCCCATCTTTTCGTGCTAGGAGGTGGATTCACCGCAACTTTGCATGATTTTGGTGATGGCCCTGAACCATTGGTGTGCAGGTTCGGGAGCCTTTCCCAACGAGAAGCTGTGCCGAGATGCTCAATCTCAGGGTTCAAAACCGCATTTTCAGGTCAGATCTTGCGTTGCAGGCCAACCAGACTACAGAGGAACCGGTCAGCAACACAAGTTCAGCCTGTGAAAGAAGCCAAACGCTTGCGCTGCGGAGAGTCTCCCCATGATGGGCAACCACTGATCACGATCCGCAGGAGGCGACCGCCGGCTTTTGGGGGTTTCTGGAGTTGCCTGACGCTCTAAAAATTGTGTTTTTGCAGGAGCAGTGGTCTGAGCCTGCTTGTTGTGCGCGCCCAGCGGTTCCAGTGGTAGACAAATTGACCGCAGCACTTTGCCTTGCTCGCAAAAACGATGGTGGGCTCCCACCTCATGGGGCTTGCGGGCCTACCGCAGCTGTCGCCAAGTGATCAAGACAAGGTCCGTTTGCGCAACGCAGCTAATGCAGATCGCTCGGATCTTGTGAGGCTGGCCTTCGCGATGAAAGTGCCTGATGCAGAGGGCAAGAGGCCGCTCGGCCAAGCAGTTCCGTGTCACCCAGAGGCGGTACCCACGCAACCTTTTCCTGTTCCACAAGAACCGTTGGCGCTGGCAGTCCACCATCCGCAGGAGCTGGTACACCACCTCTTGTGCTGTTGTCGCGCATTTTTGATGAGTGCTTCTTCGACAACCAAGTCCTCGCGTGCTTCCCAGCGGATGGGCCCAAACCGGATGGAGAGGCGGCCGACCAAAAAACGCTTGAGCAAGCTGCCAATGCAATGTCTCTGCATCTGGTTGATTCTCTGTTGGTCGCCCCCTCTTTGGCAAGAGGAAGATGATCGCAAGGGTCTTGATGGTGCGTGGGCCTACATCGACGCTGCAGCAGACAAGAAGCGGCCAGCTCGGAAGTCATGGCAAAAACACGAAGAAAGGGATGGAGGGCCGAAACCAGCAACGTCGCAAACGGGTACGCAAGGATCTTGGTTCCTTCCATGACATGACAGTCCAGCCTAGAGCTCATCATCGCTATGCCTGCTTAAACAAGTTCGCTATGCCTCCAGGACCATGACCCCGCCTTTCGGCGGAAGCTGCCGGCAGCTGGCGCCTGTTGAAGACCTACGTTATACCGGTATACCGTTTGAGGTGCCCGACATTGCGGTTTGAGCGACCAAAGCGCGGGATTTTTTCATAGAACGTCTACAGGCCCTGCCACAATGTCTGTGGGGCTTAAAAAAAGAAGGGCGCGACAAGGTGTATCGGAAAGCGCCACGTAGCGGGTCCCCAAAAACCTACCTTGCTGTGAAGGCCATGCTTGGCGCAAGATTTTTATATTGCGTTTGAAGCTTTCAAGCTTACTGCCCGGTACCACCGCCCATAAAGCCTCAAAAAGAGGCGGAGCAATGTGTTGGTTTAACCGTCGCGGGTTGTTTGACCGTCTGCTTTGGTGAGGCCCATAGCTTCTCAGGTTTAGAGAGCCAAGAGGTAGTACCTCTCAAAGGTCTCTGGGCCTAGCAACCACCTGGACGCATTGCCCTCTTACAGTTTTGCGAGGAGGGTGTGAATGTCGAGGCGTCCCCGAGAGGAGAAACTCGAGGTTTGCAGTTTCTTGTATTTAGACAAACTAACTAACCCGTCGCAGCACGTAGAACAAGAACCTGCGCTTGTCTTATATACATAGATATTTTAAGTAAATAGATAGATGTATCATGTATATATATATATATCTAATGTCTTGTTTTTCAGAGCTGGTTCTCATGTGTGTTCCTTTTTACTTTTGACCCAGCGCTGATTTCGCGGGTCAGAAAGGTTAGAGAAAGGTTAGAAGGTAGCTTTCTCGTTCCCGCGTTGAAAGACAGGCAAAGCAAAATGATCGTGTGTAGACAAAAATGGCAAGCTTCCAGCGCGCACTTGGCGCCAAGGATGAGGGTATGACCTTTTTTTGTGTGAACCAACGCCCATGGAGCTACATAATGGCACCAACACTTTACAAGCCGTCGATCAATGAATCGTTGAGGACTCGATCGTTTTTTGGGTATATATATTATATCTTTTCATCGCTGTCCGAGAGTCTGCCCAATGCATCCCGATGCGACAAGCGTGCCTGGAAGGAGCAACTGCTCGCGGAACTCAGCAAGGAGGAAGGAGGCGTTTTTGTTGTATCAGTTTTGCAGCTGAGATGGTTTGCGTGTATTGTGCTTTCGTGCTGGATATTGCCCTGCAGCTTGCTTCAATCGGAGTCTTTTTGGTGCTAATCGCGATATCCTCGCCATGTCCAGGTCCATGAAACAAAACGGTATCATGCCCTTGTCATTGGTTCAATTCGGTTCCTACTCGGGGCACAGGTGATGGATCAGTGTCTGGAACCTAGACCTGGAGTGGATGGTTTTGTTGGGTGAGAAATGCCGACAGGTGCAGCCTGGACCCTATATAGAGTGTTACAGTAAATAGAGGATGCAACAATGTATGAAATAGATAACAAGCAAAAGGATCACAGGCAAAAAGGTGTTTCAACCCACAGTAATCTCATGCATTTTAATCACGCTCTCATTCTACAGGTTTGAACCAAAGGACCCCACGGGCACTTGTATTTGAACTCAACGAAAAGTACTAAAGGAACATGGACAAACGAGAGGACAAAAACAAATTGATGAGAGCCAGAAGTGTGGAACTCCATGTGTTTCCTCTGCGAAGGAAACCCTTTGCTTGGCGATCCGGTCTGAAGAGATCGTGCGGGATCCAGCGGATTGGGTGTTTGGTCCAGACCTCTATTCTATTGACTATGTAGTCTCCAAAAAGTTTTCCCCACACAGACATCCCAAAGAACACCTTAAACGAGTTAAATCCAAAGGACATTCTTTCTCAAACAGTGGCCTCGATGAGGCGGTGTCAACACTCCCGGGCTTGAAAAACATAACTCTTGGTTTGATACCTTTGGCACCCATGTTGCACCAAAGGGGAATGGAAAGAACACCTTTGAATTCAATTCTTTCTAAGACAGTACAACTTCCAAGTCAGAATGAAAACGGCGGGGAACAGAGCCTGAAAGAAGCATGGAACAAATCTGTTTTTAAAGCTTCGGAACAATGGAGCAATGGCTTTGCAAGTTACGATTGGCCTTTTGTTGGTGCTTTGCCGCAGGTCTTCGGTGCAATCAACTTCAAGTACTGGAAGCCGTCGTTCACAGTCACCAGCAGAGCGCGTGCGCCGTGCAAGCCGATGTCAGCCAGACCATTCCACACAGAGAGTCTGAAGCTACCCCTAACTGCAGGGTCAAGGCAATTTTGTATTCTTGATATGTTGTTTTTTGTCAATCAGACTAGAATTGAGGGTGTGAATAGAGAGGATTTTGGCGGGTCATGTACTTGCCTCATCTTGTCTCGTCCTCCTGAGCTGTGTTCGAAGCCTGGATGACCTTTTGTTGCTTTGGCTTTGAGACGAGTTGATGTTGTTTCGACGACCACCTTCCTACAAGCTGCCTGCATAAGGAGCTTTCAACTTTCAACCTTGACGCATCTTGACAGCCTCTGGGATGCTGGAGTGCCTTCACCATCCGCCCCTAGCAGTAAGCAACTGCCTCTGCCAAAAGCCACTGAAGGCTGCTTAGAAATCCGATGACCGCTCTCTTGCCAAACCGTCGCTGCATATCACCTTTCTCTGCAACAGAAATCCCTCCACAACCCAATATCCAAGACTTCCCTCACTTTGGATTCTTCCAGCCTTGCGAACACAGGGCCATGGAATCTACGTATCACTGAACATTCTCTTCTCTCATCTTCTCTCATCTACCAGAAGTTTGTCTACACCGTGACCACTTGCGCAAGACCTGCAGGGGATGCTGGCAAAACGCTGCCATGGATTCATCCACTCTTGATCCCAGCAAAGTGGAGCCCTTGTTGCTTCACAGGAGTGATGCCCACTGCGCAGTGCTGGGCAAGCAAGGTCCAGAACGGAGACACAGGACCTGGCGGAGATGCTGGCAAGACAGTCCGCAACGAAATCGGTGGTTTTCAGAAGCTGCCATCGATCCGTTCTTGATCCCAACTACTCGTATGGCCATCAGGACTGTACCAGGCGCTGCTACAGCCGCACCTGGCCAGGATCGCCCCGCATAATTGTGTGCTGAGTAGCCGGAAAAGGAGTGTTCCACCCAACGGTCCTTGAGGCATCCTTGGCTTTCGCTCCTCCCTCTCAAGCAATGTTTTTGTGGGTGTCCTCTTGGGGAGGATGAATATCTCATCCCTATGCATGTTGTGCGAAATTGCATGTTGTCCCAAATGCGTAGCGAAGGGTTCTCGTTTAACTCTGGGGGTCTGGGGGTAGAGCCTTGATCGCGACTCGTTGTCTTAGCGTTCTCAACTGTTGTCAACCGTCCGCAACCGTTCGCAGGTGGAGCACTATGGCGCTGACATTGGGCGAAGCTTTTGGAGAAGGTTTTGGATACTAAATTTCATAAATAGGGTGCGCTTTTGGCAGAAATATTTCATAAGTATTCAGCAATGCGCACTGCATTCAACATCACCTGTAGAAGGTAGGGGGTAGTTTTTTGGTGGACCAAAGATTGTGCTTCCAATGCTGAATGCAAAGTGCTATGGGAAGAGCAAAGCCCAAGTAAAAGACTTGACCAGGTGTAAGTAGTGCAGGGGGCTGACGCATGTTTGGTTCAAAAGTTTGCTGCAAAACAACACCAGGGAAGCAGATACAGAAACAACATAAGTTTGGGGATAGGGCTCCTAAGAATACTAGAGCCTCTTCCAAAAGGATATGACGACTGTGCATCACCAGCCTTGCGAAACCGACGCCAGCAGTTAGAACGTTTTCGTCCCAAACTCCACGAGCAGAAATTGCTATGTTTTTTGGAAAGGAACTATAACCCCAAATCCGTATGGAAAGAATGTTGTACATCTTTCAAAATCTTATGACTCGGAAAGTGTGCGACGTCCCTGTCAGAACCGGTTATGTTTCTTTTTTGAAAACACGCCTCGCTGTTGCATTGTTCGGAGCAGCTGTGCCAATGCTCGTGGAAGCTACGATCCCTCTAAACATTATACTTTTTGGAAAAATATAACTTATGATTCGCTAAGGCATGTATTGACGCCTTCTTTTTTCCAAGGAAATGCTAGAGATTTACTTGAGGCGGCTACATGACAATTTGTGATCAATATGCGCAGGCACCAACTAAAAAGAGACAAAAAAACAAAAGGTGATGGGTTATCTGCATGCTCTGGTGAATCGGAAGTTATTTAATATTTTGAAGAACTATAACTTTTTCCATTAGGTGTCCCATGGTTTTGGAGTTGTAGTTTTTCAAAAAATCATAATTATTTTCGACAAGGACGTCGCACACTTTCCGAGTTGTAAGATTTTTTAAACTATAAAACTTTTCCATTGGGTGTCCCATGGTTTTGGAGTTGTAGTTTGTTCCACAAAACATTACAATTTTCGACGAGGATGTCGCGCACTTTCCAAGTTATAAGATTTTTTTTGAAGAATTGTCCGCTATAACCCACGGTTTTGGAGATAAAAACATTTTCAAGAAAGACACATAACCGGTTCTGACAGGGACGTCGCGCACTTTCCAAGTTATAAGATTTTTTGAAAGATGTATAACATTTTTCCATTAAGTGCCCCACGGATTTGGGGTTATAGTTCTTTTCCAAACATAGCAATTTCTGCTTGTGGAGTTTGGGACGAAAACGTTCTAACTGCTGGCATCGGTTTCGCAAGGCTGGTGATGCACAGTCGTCATATCCTTTTGGAAGAGGCTCTGGTATTCTTAGCAATCCTACCCCCAAACTTATGATTTTTCTGTTGATGTATCCCAGATATGAAGCGTGATTTCTGAAACTCAACAGTTTTGGAATGGAAGAAGCAGCAAAGAAACGAAGGATGAAGTCCCTGTGCAGGCGCAGGGTTTTGCGAGACTGGCAGGTCTCTTCGCAGTCAGATTGGGATTGGTGATTTTAGGGTGGTGTTTTTTGGATGTGGGTGTGACGTTGGGATTTGCGTTTGAGGCTGTTGCTTCGAAGTTGTGTTTTCGTGACAAGTCTCAACTAAAGTGGCGATTTTGGTGGCGGGAGTGTGCTCAGAACGTGTCGAAAACATTCCAATCGTGTGCTGTGGTAGCAAGTTTTGCTGAAGCTAACATGATATGATATTGTCACTTTTCGTGGCAGGTGCAGTACTTTGTGCGGGTTTGAGGTGTGGAGTTGGCAGGCGCAGTATTTTGTGCGTGTTGGAGGTGTGGACCATTGATGTTGCTTGGAGGGGCTGGAATCGCGAAGCTGCTTGGCGGGGATGCTTGATGTGCGTGCTCCGATGGGCCTTCCCGCTTGGCCTTTGCTCGTTTTGGAGACTTTGACATACTTTTGGAGGAAGTCTCATAAGAAACGCTCGTTTTGGAGATTTACGCGTGAATTTTGGAGGAAGTCTCGTACGAAACGCTCGTTTTGCAGACTTGAAGTGTGAATTTTTGAGGAAGTCTCGTGCGAAACGCTCGTTTTGGAGACTTGATTGATGAGTCGAGTGGAGCAAGCCTCGTACGAAACGCCAGTTCGTGACGGTTGACTTTTGGAGACTGTCCCACAAGAATGCCGTGCAAGAGTGTACCAAAAGAGTGACCCGCAAGAGTGTTTTACAAGAGCGTTCCGCAAGAGTGTCCCACAAGAGTGTGTCGCAAGAGTGCCCTACGAGAGTGCCCTACAAGGCCCTACGAGAGTGCCCCACAAGAGTGTTCCGTGTCATACAAGAGTGTCCCGCAAGAGTGCACCACAAGAGTGTCCCACAGAAGTGGCAACTTGTAGCCCAAATGTAATGTGGGAAGCAGCTGCTGGGAGCTGTGGCCTCGCGCTTGGCAACTTTAGCAGAACTGGCCACTTGGTAGTACGAATGTAGTGCAGAAAGCAGCTTCTGGGAGCTGTGGCCTCAGAACTGGCAACTTGTAGTACACATGTGATGCGGGAAAATGTAGCGCGGGAAGCGGTTTCTGGCAGGTGCGGCCTCAGAACTGTCAACTTGGTAGTGCAAATATAGCTTCTGAGAGTTGCGGCCTCAGACCTGGCCACTGGGTAGTGCAAATCTAGTGGTTTCTGGGAGCTGTAGAACTGGCAGCTTTGTAGTGCACATGTAGTGTGGGAGCTTCTGGGAGCTGTGGCTTCAGAACTGTCAACTTATGTAACCAAATTACATCTGAGTACGCGAGTGTCGCACGTGAGTGTCCCGCAAGAGTGTTGCACAAGAGTCCACAAGAGTGTCGTCTCCTACTGCCTTCGACTTCGCCGTCACGGCGCCCCAGCGGCAGGAGACCCTCGCACAGGCGAGTGTGCGCACGGCTGCGGCAGCTGAAGCCCACGCAAGACATAAGGAGCTTCACCTGCGCACTGCTCAAGCATGCGAGCAGCAAGGTGTCAAATTTGTCCCGATGGTAGCTGAGTGCACCGGAGCATGGGATCCAAGCGCCTTGAAAGTTTTGAAACATGTGGCTCATGCGGTTGCTGCCAAGACTGGCGAAGAGCCAGCAGCTTGCTACAACCAACTGTTGCAAGAACTCGGTGCTACCATTCGGTCCTTTCGGGCCCGCGCTGCGCTGCGGCGCCGTTTCGAAGCCACTTGAACCTGGCAGCTTGCTCTCCGATTCTCCGTGCGGTGAGTCGTTGGGCGCTTGACGGTATCCTTCACCCACGGGGCAGTGACCAATGACATGCGCGTGGGCCCGCTGTAGTCCCTATGCCTTTCTTTTTCAATTTGCGGCTCCTTGCTGTTTTTCCCCTCCGGATGCCGATGCTTCTGCCCGTACGTGGCCAGCCGTCGGTGGCCCGGGGGCTTTGTGTTGCACGCGGGCTCTATTTCTTTTTGCCGCTCGTCACGGTGGCTTCGTTTCCAGTGCCAACGCAGTTGGGGTTTTCCATTGCTGGAGACGTTGCAACCTATGCCGGCCTTCTCCGTTTTCACCGTTTTGTACAGGCTGCCATTACACAGTGGCACGCGAACGACCCTTCTTTCTTGTCCAACAAGAGTGTTCTGCGAGAGTGTCCCACAGAGTGACGAAAGTGTCCCACGAGAGTGTCCCACAAGAGCGTTCTACAAGAGTGTCTCCTACAAGAGTGTCCAAAAATGTTTGGGTTTTTGTTTTCAAGTACGTGTTTGCATTCGGGATCGTGGGCTCCATCTTGTTTTTGTGGAGGGGGTGCCAGTAGGAAATCTTTGGTCCATTGACAAGTTCCTTATAATGCCGGAGCAGGTTATATCCTTGACGCAGGTTGCGAGAATGTCGAGTGGGGTGAAAGTCACCAGCGTCGGCCTCGGCATTTGATCCCGAACTTGGACCATCATGCACAGTTGGACCAAAGGCAGCATTCGTTCAGCGTTTTTTCGGGTTAGGTGCTCAAGGCATTTCTGTAGCGCGAAGAGCTTCCCGAGATGTCCGAGAGGCACAGTGAAGATGCAATGTCTATGATTGTCTATGCAAATTGGAAACATATACATATACACGTTACATGCACTTATTGAAGAGAAACTTGTCATGACTTTGGTTGAACTGTCCCACACTCTTACCTCACAGACCACACAATGGTGATGTCGCGTCTAACTTCTCCAGGCCTCGGCGAAGAGCCCCCTCGGTCGTTTGAAGCTTACCTTGTGCATCCATTTTTGAGGCGGTGATGTCAATGTTTATCAGCAATTGACACTTGGCTCCATAAAGGATGGGCGCCAGGTCAAACGCCGCTGCAACTAAGTGAGCTCCTTGCCATGCGGAACCGATCGCCCATCTTCAAAACTTGGGGTTTGCTGAAGAACCCTGCACCCTGCAGGTGGTGGGATGGATTGGCCTTCGTGCAAGATGAAATCATTCTTAGTCTTGCCAGGCTATTGCTAGGATTTTTTCTTCTCATTTCTTCTATCTTTTTTTTGCACCTGAGGCCTCAGCGATAGGAATCGGGCCGTTGGGGTGGCTCAGTGGTACTCGTCTTGAAAGATTCCAACAAATTTTCAACCAGATGTTCTGTATTTGGACGACAACTTTAACCGTGCAACCTGCCCCTCCCCAAACAAGGGTTTGCCATCCAACCTCTGGTAGGAAGATGACAACTTTGATTGGAAAGAGTCTCAGCTTGCAAGTACTCATAATTTGTAAAGCATCGGCGCACAAATGGAGACTTCAAAAGGAGGCTTCCTTCATGCATGCAGATTTCCCGTGGTGATAACTATATGAGCATGGGCCAAGCAGTCAGAAGCCAACTGAACTGCTGGGTGACCAGATTGTGTGACTCGCACGAACATTTCCATGCGCGAGCAGTGGCACCTAAGTCCAGAGAGACCATGCAATATCACGACCAATAAAGCACTAGCAAACCTGTGGCCAGCTCGTGGCCCTTTTGCCGCTTTTGTTTGCAAAATGTAGGTTGAGCAATACAACGCTTCGTGCAACAGCTGGATCAATTTAGTAGGTTCGCGATTCAGTTTTGTACCAGCAGCGGCTTGTCCTCGGGCTGCAACTTGACAGATGTGGGACTGAAGGTCAAGAGGGATCATTGTTTGAAAGCTTTCTGGCGGAACTTGGCAGGAAAGACATTATTTAAATCATGTAGAGCTGTGATGTGCAGCGAACAAGCGATGAATGTTTGGCCCTCAAGTGACAGCGAATTATCCATTACAGACGTGGCGATCGGGAATTCGAAAAAAGCAACTCGAAAACCGAATGGATGTTTGAACTATGGTCGATGTTCATCCCTTTCGACCCACATGTCGGCCATGTGGGCTCAGGAGCCATGGCATCCTCCATGACGGTAAAGTCGGCGACCCGGGTGGCCCAAGGCCTCGGGTGAGGGTTGGCCAGGATAAAGCTGGTGGCGAAAAGGTCAACCGTGGCTGGCCACAGACATCCTGAAGTAGGCAGAACATGGAACAGAACCTCAAGCCACGGCAATTTGGTACATGGATCCAACCAAATAAGATTATTCGTGTGATAGTTTCTTTGGTTTTTTCTTGTTGTGGTTGTCACTTACGCACGCCAGCCCCTATTTTCGCTCTGGCTATTCCAGCAAGAAGGTTACTCTTTGTGATAGGGTTGATAGCTGACATGCCTGAGAGTTCGTTTCCTGGTTGAAAGGGGAAAAGTCAGTAGCTAGTTGAGGGACATGGGCAACAGGAAAACATATATATATATACACATTGCGAACACTTTTCCATGCATCACAGAATGCACTCGCAGCCCTTCTGAGTATCAAGAAAAGGTGCGTATGGGAGGGATAAGGGAACCCCCCCTTCCCTTGAGCTTGAGAGAAAAGCCCCTAGGTCACTGGAATCCCAGGTGCGAATTTCGAGCCATAGATTTGGAGCCTTTGGAACCCAAGCGGCTGGACTGGTGAAGATTTGTTGTTAGCAGCGCTCTGTACCCAGTACATTGTGTCAATTAGACATTAGTACAAGGGGAAGACGGAGGAAATCAGAGAAACCCTTCAGACTATAGTGCAGAGTATGCTGGCAACAACAGCAGCTGAGGCAGCGAAGAAAGCAGCTGAGGACAAGAAGTCCTCAACAACAGATTTGTCAAAGTTGATAGCCGAGCCCAACATCTTTGACTATAAGTCACATGAAGAAGAGATCAAGGCCTTCAGAGAGTGGTCATGTGTCTTTGAGAAGTACTTGAGTGCAATTGATGAGGGCAGCAGCTTTTCTCCTTTAGTGAGGAGGCTTTGCGAAGTTAGCGCCAGGCGAAGCCGGCGCGATTGGGCTTGATGATATTCGACAAGGCTGAGGGCTACATGAAGGTATTGAAGGGCATTCATGAGAAGCCAAGTGAAAAATTTGACATGGACTTGGCAACTGAGGCAGACAAGACCAGGTCCATCAAGCTCTATGGATTGTTAGCTTCATTGATGAGAGGAAGAGCGCTGCAATTAGTGGAGTCTAGGACTCCAATGGATTTGATGCCTGGACGAGTTTGAATAAAGCTTTGAAACCAACTTCAAAGGCAAGAGGCTTGGCAGTTTTGGGAGCAGCCACTACATGGCCAGCAATTTCAATGAAAAGTGCGCTACAACCTCAACTCTTGAAGCTTGGAGAAGTATTTGATGAGACAGTCAAGGCAGGGACTACAATTCAGGAAGAGTTGAAATCTGCTATTCTTTTGAGATGTGTAGGAGGAGGACAACTCAAGTCCTACTTGAACTTGACAATTGGCGACAATGTTCAATACTCAACTTTGAGGGAACAAGTGTTGCAATCGGATCGCTCTCAGCAGAAGTGGGCTACTCCCATGGTGGCTAGTAGCAGTACAGGCTACCAAGGGCCTATGCCAAGGGATGTTGATCGAGTCCAAGATGCCAAAGGCAAAGGTAAGAAGGGCAAGAATGACAATCAGAAAGGCAAAGGTAAAGATGCTAAGGGCAAAGGAAAGAAAGGAAAAGGACCAGAAAGGAAAGGAATCTGATCACAAGGGTGAAGGTAAAGGCGAAGACCAAAAAGGCAAAGGTGTGGCAACATGTTACAGGTAAAGGCTGTTGGAGGAATCATATTCGACAGGTAGCAGGTGATCAAGCCCATTCATCTTCAGGAGGAGCATCAGTGACAACTCATACAGTTGGCCAACAGCATGCCAATGGCAGGCTTTTGGCGGTGACTAAGGACGCGGAGAAAGACAGACTCATTTTTGACTGCGCACCGTTGAACACTTTGGAATCTCCGCCGAACCGGTGGTTTATTTCCATGGTAGCCTCTTCGAATCTTCTTGACTTTCAGTTGGCTTCGGATGAGCGCATGCTGCTATCAGGGACTGACCTGAGGGAGGTTTGTTGTAGCTTTTCGGCCACCCATGAGCGTGTAGTGAGGAATTCGTTGATTGGCATTTTCTTTGCCAGGGAATTCGAGACTTTCAGTGCTATGATGAGAGCCTTCAAGGGGCCGGCCCTCTCCTGTTTGGTTTCAAAAAAATTGGCACAGACTGCTCATTTGGGAATTTTGTGGACGGGACGACTTTAGTTGCTATAACTTTGCCTCCTCCCAGGTCCCCAAGGTCGTCATCGATGACCTTGTGCTCTTCAAAGTTGTGGCAGCTGGAATTTCAGCTGATGATCCTTCCATTCGGAGTGGAGAGAATCTTGACGCAGCTCTTGCAAGGTATGTGGTTTTGGGCACCCGGGAAAAATTTTTTGATTTTAGGATGAGGCTGAATTTTGGGTGGAATGAATGGTTCGGGCGAACTTGAAACGTGTCATGCCTCTGCTTATTGCTACAGCTGGAGTGATTAAGCTGGGTATTTGCGTTATTTCTTTGCTGAATGTGTTTATCGGGTCGTGGATTTCAATTTTTCCCTGCAGGCGGCGATTGTTGTCCTTGCTCAACGTTGCCACGCTGCGCGGCAATCATCTGAGAATCCCAGGACGGTCCTCGGGCTGTCGGATGAGTTGGTGTCTGAGCTTATTCTTGTAGTGGCTTTGGCGCCGCTGCAAATTTGGAGTTTTTGTGTCTATGCCTCTGATGCTTCCTCTTGGGGCCTCACTGTCTGCAAGGCTCGGTCGGCTTCCATCTTGGATAACAAGTGAAGTGCATCGCCGCAAGTGCAAGAAGAACACTTGGGTGAAGTTGCTTACGCCTGCAAAGGCTTTGGACAGAGTGCGCGGAGAACTTCTAGCTTCTGATGAGCTGCCTGGAGGTGATGTTTTTCACACTCACCCGCTTCATCAGCTTTTAGTGACAGGCCTGCAGTTTGAAGAGGCGCTCCAGAAAAGAGCAGAGATGGTTCTCACATCAACATTGGGGAGCTGCGTGGCATGGTGCGGTCAGAGTCCGATTGGTGGTTTCCCAACAGGACTATGTAGGGCTGAGCTGGATCAAGGGCAGACCTTCAAGTTTCGGGCTGAACCAAGTCCTACAGCAGAGTCTGCCCATCCACCTTGGGCGCGGCTTGATTTCAAACGCTGGCCATCTTCCTACGGATGTGAATGTTGCTGACGATCTCACCCACCGACCTTCCTGCAAGCTGCCTGGCTGAGTGGTCAATGTTGTCAGCTGGACGAGTTTCTTGTTCCTTTTGGTGCATACTCTTATGAACTTTCTGGTTTGCCGGTTTTCGTACAGATGAAAGTTTACCAGAGGCTTCCTCTCCGATTTTGCGCAGCAAGTCGTAATTTGCTGGAAAGCGTTCTAGGGCATCCCGCATGAGCCGGGAGCCGAAAGTTATTCTTGCGCAAGAAGGCAGTGAAGAGTTTTCATTTCCAGTTTCTTCCTCCCACAGTGATTTTTCTTGGCCGCTTGAGGTCATCACATTGTTGAGCCACTTTCAACCAAAGCAGTTCATTTTCCAAAAAGCATGGAGGGTTCCCTCTGACTGGAGCCCAAATAGCGGCCCTCTATCCTGCAAAGGGTATTTGGATTTGTATTCTGGCAAGACAGGTGTCGCCAGAAAGTTGAAGAAGGTTCGATTTGGGCTCTCACCTTTGAGCTGGATGATGGAGACAGCCTGTTTTCTTTGCCCCCAGTGCAGCAATTTTTTTTTGCAGGCCCTTGATCATGCAGATTGGCTCGCGCAGCTGATCCCTGTGGCTTGTGAACATAGTTTAGTTTACTGGGTTGAGAATCCCGATGGATCATTTCTTTGGTTGCTTGATGCTTGGCTTGAATTGGGGTGCCAACTTGAAAACCTTTTTCGATTGGACTACTGCAGATGCAGCTGCCTGTGGAGGAAGCGTACTCGCTTCTTTACAAATTGTCATCTCCGAGGCCAAAGCTTGTTTTGCTTACGAGATCATGTCGGTTGGTCTCAGCTTCACAAGGCATGTTGGACACGTGTTGCTCCGACCCACCCGAAGATTCTTTGCAAGTGGATCGCCCTTGCCCTGTTGATCGATGCCGGATTGTGGCCTGATAGGAGGCGGATATACACCGCCTCGATTTGTGGATCGTCAGGACCACGCTTGGTGAGCCCGGAACCGAGTTGATCGG